ACTCTACATGTTTTGAAGTTACAACATTGTAATGTCGAAACATGTAGAGTCGTCAACTTTTGAAGGCCATAGATAAGCCTAAATAAAATGTTTTTAATTGTGTACCAGGTTAACGTTGAATATTATTTATGATTTTTTCTTTACAGTAGTTCGATATTTTTTGCATATCCTGTTTTTGTTAATTTACATTTTAAAGGAAAATATTTGTTTAAAGCATAATCTAGCTGGTGGTAATTCAAAAAAGTGCTGTTTTTGTATGATATCTGACTTGTTTTGATATTTAGTTTACTATACATTATTGGGTTTGTAAAAAAAACATATTGAGGTCTATTTAACTTTGTTTGTTGTTATTTTTTCAAATGTTACTTACTGGCTTCGTTAAGTCATTTTAGTGGATACATTTAAGAAAGTGTAGTACTGGTACGTTATGACAAAAAAAATACTTAATGCTTTTCTTTCTCTTAATCATTAGGTCTGTACACATAGGCCCTCAACTTTCTCGACTCCTGCTAAATCCTCAGGATGAAAACCACAATTTGCAAGATATCTGGAGGCTTCTACCATTGCATCCAGGGACAGTGATATATCTGAACACAAGCTGTTTTAAAGAAAATGCAAATCAAATCCAAAATGTTCCTCTAAATATCATCCTTGTTGAATATGGACATGAGGTAACATTGTTGTGCTTGTACTTTTTCATATTTTTAACACTTGGACATCTAGATTTAGCAAATCATTTTTAGAGTTTGGTTTGTGGAATGGCATCAAAAGCTAAGGAAAAAATGTTTTCAAAATTCTTATTTTGTGATAGGCTTACAGTGGAACTAAGCTTGACCAAATATTATAGAAGGCTAATACTGAACTGTTTAATTTCAAAGAATTGTTAACATAACTGAGACAGGTTCATTTCAGTGTATTTGTTGTTGACACATAGAGAATAAAAATCAACTTTTAAGCGTAATAATACACGCATTTAATAAGTCACCATGGTTGGTGGTTGAATGAAAATTGAGTTTTATAATAATAGTGTAGATTTTAATTAGCCTTTTTTTTACTTTCTCTGTGTTACAATTTTGGTTGCATAATAATAGTTTGATAAGAATTAAACCACCAAGAATCATTATTGTCTTCATATGATATATTTTTATTTTAAGAGTTGGCACTTTGACTTCTCTCTCAGAACACACACACACACACATTTATAACTCTAGTTGTATAACAATGTAACTTTCTAAATTTTTTTTTTCCATTCAGAAAACAACTGTTTACACTATTTCTCTTTCTTTTTATTGTTGACAAAGAACTTTTGTAATTGTATGAGAGTTTGAATTATTGGGTAAATATTATTCTATTTTTGTGACTTGTTTAAATATTTTTGTCTTTTTGACAATTTTTTTGACTGTTAAGTAAAGCTCATTTATACATTATATTAAACTCTTGATTTATACATTCAGGATATTTTATAATAATGTCAGTTATAGAAACATTACTATCACTCTTAATGTGGGAAACTTAGATAATGTTGCATACATTCTTAGCTGGTTTTCACATTGTTAAAAGTCAAACAACTTAGAAACACCAGTACTTCAAAGAAGTGATGCATTGCAACCACCATAGCTTTCATGCTGGTTTTCATTTAATTCACAGCTTGTTGCATTCGTACCTCAATAGCTTATCATGTATGAAATATATTTAGAAAATACATTACAGTAAAAGATTGATTGCAGAGTTAGTTTTGTTAAGTTGTGATCTTAATATAATGATTGAGAGAGTCTCTTTTAATGTGCAGAATTCTCTCATCATTATTCTGTGAAAGAATTGTAAACACTGTTCAATGTATTGCCATGTCACATTTATGTGGTGCATGATCTTTTATTCTAGATTTGTTTCTAGCCAGAAAATGTGCGTGTTTTAAGCTACCTGGTGGTAGATACAACATATATAGGATTGTATCTAGGACACATAAGTTCACAAACGACATTAGACAGTACCACTGGCAGTAGTCTGTCTTTAAATTTGAAAAAAGTTTGTAATCTTCATTCAAGTTTAAAAATAACTTGTAAACCTATTTGTGGATAAGTTATACAGAAAAGTTTAAGTAGTTGTCTTTTCAGTAACAATGCATGTTTACCAGTATAGGGCAAAATCATTGATATTAATTATTTTAGGAAATTATGATTTAGTGGTGTAGATACATTGACTTTCTTCATATAATCATGTATTATGTTGTCAATGCTATATTTAGGAAAGCCATTTTTTTCTATAACAGATGCTTGATATTTTCTTTATGTGAATATCAACACATGCTTGTGATCACAATGAAATAAGACCCTAACTGTTTCTTAAGTAAGGATAGAATGGCAAAGTTGAAATATAAACCCCCTGCCAACATGCAATGGAAAAATTACATAGCTTTGCACTGGTTATTGTGACCTTACTATTAGAAGGTCACTCCACAGTAATGGTTGTATTACGTGCTACATCTACTTGATGTATACATTACCATTAGAATAGTTTCTGTGTACTACATATTTACATATATATATTGGTCCAGATTAGTGTATGCATTTAAAAAGTTAGATCATTAATCAATGTACGATTTTTGATAACAACATTCATAGGTATATTGGTGTAGTGTGCATTTGTATTCTCTAAAACAAAAGTTTCTTATTTATTGTGTTTTGATTTTGTTAAGGTAGGTCAAAGTGCACATGTCATGAATATTTAGAGTTACATTCAGAATTTAATTAAAGTACTTTATTATCATTGTATATGAATAAATTGATATCCAAATATAGCTAATAAAGAAATTTTAATATTATATATAAGTGTTAAGTTCATAATTTTATAAGGAAATATTTTTAAAAATCCTCAATCTCCTGTGGTGTGAGAATTGTGACATTTATTCTCTAGGTCTTCCATTTTCTCTAACTTATTTACCATCCCTCTGAGAAATAAGAAAGTTAATGTAAATTACTCATTATAATATAGATATTACTAAGGCAAAGCATAATTTTTATAGCCTTCAATCGTATTTATTTATGGAGCAATAAACTAAAAAATGAGACCCACTTGTCACATCCTCTCTTTCACAAATTGCCAATAGTTCTCTCTGACCTTTTATATTATACAAACTGAGTTACCCGACCTTTGTCTGGGTTATGAACTTAAAAAAATGTGTGGGTGGATGCTATGATAAATAACACAAAAATCCTAACTTTCACACAATTTATATTTGACATATTATTACAATATTCATAATTACTTCACAAAAATATAAGCTGTAAAAACTCATTATGTATATACTTAAAACATGATATACACAGGGTAATTTGGTAGGAAGAGGTAGTGGCCAAAGTATTGGTGGTAATAGTGCTTCCTATTATCCTATTTCAACACCCAGCTCTTAGTATTTTTCCACAGTGTTTCATGTGACTAACTCATTGACAGTCATTGGCTGCAGCTGTGTCTTACAGGCAGACATTGAAAGGTCACAGGTCAAAGTAGGAAATGGGTATAACTCAAGAGACAGCTCTTCATATCAGCCTTATGGTGGCTGTTGGGGTAGAAACTTCAGTTAAGTTTATGTAGTATTCCAATAGTGGTAGCCATTTTTTTCATTGCATTCCTTCATAGAGAGTACTAGTGTACTCTCTTAGATATGTAAAACATTTGTGTGCCCTCCCCCACATTGTGTGCATGTTGTTTGTTATAATTGTTAAAATTGAATACTTTTTTTTTGGGTGTAAGGATGTGGTGCCATCTATGAGTATAGTTAATGTTAACTTATGCAAAAGATAATAAATTCTCAATAACAGCAAAAATAGGGGTGGAGGGGGCTCTGAACACCCAATTAACATGTCCCTTGTTCTAAACTGTCATCCCACAAAGTTTGATTGAAATTGTCCCAGCAACCTAAGAGTAGTTAGATAATGGACAAACAGACAGTCACACAGAATTTTGTGCTTCATGTATATAGATTATTTATAACCAATAGAAAGCCAAAGTTTTAATCTATTAAATGAAGTATTATATTACATTGTTTTCTCTACAGAGTATTGTTTATTTTGATTCTAGTTTGGAACTTTCGTTCATGGCATTCACATTGATAAGTGCAGCGAACTTCTTAAAGTCTCTTATCACATAGTTAAAATGTCAGGTAAATTATGATAGTTATGGGCCATTGTTTGCTCTGTGTTCTTGGATGCATTATTTAATTAAATAAAATTATTTAGTCTACTAATACCATTAGTTTTAAAAAAAAATGTAGGCTTAACTTTTATTGACAGTCAACAGCAGAAAAACAAAAGGACACAGGTACGTATTGTAAGGTCAGGCTTTAAATGAGTTTAGAATATTCCATGTGTTACATGTATATATAAAAGTTTGGCATAAAATTCCCCAAGAATGAATGATCAATCAGTAAATGAGAAGTGAAACTTAAAAATTAAAAAGTTTATACAAAAAAAAACAATAAGAAAATTAATAATAAGCTCGCAAAGTGAAAGCAACAAATTCATTAAAAAAAGAACCTAGGTGTTTATGGACATGTGAATTAAAACCTAAGTTTGTCATTGTAAATTTTCAAAGAAGTTATGTTGAATATTTTTGATAGCTTTTGTACAGAGAGTATTGTTTATTATGTAAAACATTTTCCCTTGAGTTTGGTTAAGATAATAATGTTTTATCTTTACTCAATATTGCAGGCATCTACAGACTTCAGCACACCATGCAAATCTCTCACCCAAAGTGGGTAAGTTGTTGTGTTGTGTTTTCCTCTTTCAATGAATATGTTTACATAATACAGTAGGAACACTTTCTTTGTATTCTCTGTGTAACATCTTCGTGATGTCAGTTGTGGTCATTGGTTACGTGTAATATTCTTTGAAAATAAGGAATTAGGTCGTGTACAGTGAAAACTTTATATCATGGTGGAAAGGGATATGTGTGTGTGTGCTGTTGTTTATTTTATTTTGAAAATGTTTAATTTTTTAATAATTAATTCCATCCCCAGTTGCACAGTGGTGTGTCTGCGGACTTATAATTCTAGAAACTGGGTTTCAATACCTATGGTGAGCAGAGCACAGATAGCCCATTGTTTAGCTTTTGTGTAACTACAAACAAACAAATCATGACTACCTGAAAGTTTTCTGTTTTACTTAAGACTAAAGAATGAGAAATTGTACATACAAGCTGGTATTTCTCAAGTAAAAGTATGTGTGTACAATTATGCTTACAAATTCATCTCCATTTAAAAGACATATCTTGATTTTGGCATAGAAAATAGTACATTCCAAAACCAATATTTTTTAACATTTTAAAATAAAAATTGCTTTTTATACTTATTACTGTGTAGTCCATTCATCTCTACCTTTATCTATTTCTATATAGAAAAAAAAAGTGTTTTAACTAAATGTTCATTTTTGTGTTATACAGAAGTACAATGTGTTTATGTGCTGGAACGTCTTCTTGGAACAGGTAATACCTTTTATTACATTCTAATATATTATGTAAATTGTTATTCCAGTAATGTAGTAGTAGTAATTTTAATCCCATTAAAGCAGTGCCAATTGGACAATGATGAGTTACAGCATTTGGATAACAGTTTAAAAAGCAAACATGACTTGAAAAACAGTTTAGAAAAGTTGTCATAGTGTAGTAAGATAAGTTGAAAAACTTGACTCACAAGTTTAAAAACTCTTAGTATTGCATGGATGAAATAATTTAAAAATCTAATTTCATCATATTTGGGTTGCAGAATAAAAGGAATAAACCTTTAGAACAGTAGTGTTTGTTGCATCAACCAACTGTGAATTTCAAAATTAAGAAAATTTTCCTTACTTCCTTCTCCATTGTAATGTTGTAGCCAATCATCTAAATGTAGTTTAAAATGCAAAATAAATCATAACATATTACTGAAGTGAATTGGATATGTATGAAGAGTATTTGTGTTGCCTAATTAGTCTTTAAAATGAATAAAAATAATTCTGTTAAACACTATATATTTATAGACCTAAGAGCTTGATTTAAGTGTAGATTTTTATTCATTATTGTGGAGAAAATCTGAGCATACCTTTAAAACAGATTAGTGATGAAGTTGATCAGAAATAGCAATGACAAGACCAAAAATTAATAAGAGTTTGTGAGTAGACATACTGTTTAAGATTTTATAAGATGCACTTTAGAGTTCTCAGTCATAAAAAATAAATATCAATAGATATATGAATCTAAAAAAATATTGTTCATTAATTATAATATAAAGCATTTCATTGTTTTGGTCACAAGTGGTATAACTGGACTTGCATCTTCCGATAAAAGGAGTATAAAATGGTCTATTATTAATACCTTTATATGACTTTCAGGAAATGTCATCAGCAATGTACGTCTTGTTAAGATTGTTCTGTTTAATCTAAATAGACATTACTTTTTCACCTGATATGTTTGTAGAATCTGTAATTATACAACAAGAAACAGACACTTGGTATAATGTACTTTACATAATTTTATAAGTAGTTTTGTTTTTGAAGTAATATGGCATATTTTAGATATTGTTTTTGTGACAAATGAATGTATTTAAGACTTTACTATAATATAGCCTTATATTTTTTATAGTTGAGTTTTGATTTCGAGCTAAGTTCCCTGTAAACTCGAATCAGTGAAGTATGCATGTTTAGTTCTAAACAATGAGCCTTTTAGTCTATTCCACGTAAATGGTTGTTAGTTGAAGATACCAGTAAGTGAAGTTAAAAACACTTTGGGAAACATTACAACAGCTAGATTTATATGTATTTTATAAATGTGACATTTTATACAAACAGACAGTACTGTCTTGTGTGATGACTTTTTTAACTGAATAATTTTTACAACTGAAAATACAGATCTTAGATTACTTGAAAAAAGGACTCTAATACCAAGTGTAAATTGATTTTGAGATGTGCCAGTTGGTTGTTCTGTCATAATATAAAATAGTCATTCCATATGCAAAGTTTAGAAAATATTCACCATGACCGTTCTATTTTTTTCTGACACTTTCTGATTCTGTTTATTTTCCCGTGTTCTCTCAGTCTTTTATGGCTTTTTTTTTTCTGACTACATCACTTTTAAATTCTGTTTTAGAAGGTTTTACCTATTATGTAAAAATATTTCATTATTAGGTTATGTGATGTAATTAGAAAAATACTCTCTGATACGGGTGAAATATTGGTGGATTTGTGATATAGTCATAATGTGGCGAATACACTGAATAGTAAAATAAAATTAATTTAAATAAGAGTTTGATATGATTTTCATAAATTTGTATAAAATTCATGAACTTTTGCATGATACTATTTTTCCACTGAGTAAAATCTAATATATATAAAAGCTAGTTTCCATTTTGTGTGTATGTAATGCTCATATTTTGAGTCATTTTAAATTTAACTTTGCACTTTTCTTATTGATTTCTGTAATATACTTGAAAAGTGTTTTTATTTTCTCAATGTTAAGTTGTTTTTCTTTTATAATGAAGGGGGAAGTTTGGTGAACAAAGCTCATTGAAGGAAGGGTGGGGGGCTCCCAGGGTTTTTTGCAAAACTCCAACCCATTATTTTTTTATGGGTCAGGCAAGACTAGTATCTATTAATAATACACACACACACATAATAAATAAAGTAATTTTTTTTATTGTTATCTTTGGCTTACTACACTGTTTACTGATGCAGGAGCTTTTTAAACTGGATATTGTGTTTAAAATAGTTTACCTAATAGGGATCAATAGTAATAATACCAATAATGATATCATTGTACTATAAAGGTTGTATTTATTTGACTTAATTTATCTATTCTTAAATATGCGTAATTAATATAAAATATAGTAAATTTTCATCCAGTTTTAACAAAAGAAAGGGGTGTATAGTAAGGTAAAGTATAACATATGTCCTTTACACCAAGGAGTAATGGTGTTTTAACAATTGATGTTTTGTGTAAAATTGGAAATGATCATCTCGGTTTCTAGTGGATAAAACTATATGGCAAGACTTGTCCTTTATTTGAATTCGGCTTCTTTTTTATTATTGTGAAAATAACATTTTGTTTTTGAGGTAAAATTATTTATCAGTTAAATTCTTTAATATCCATTGTGCACAATGTGTGCCATGTTTATCCAGCCATGCTTGAAACTTGTAAGCTTTGGGAAGTTTGAAGGTGATATGCTTTCTTCATAATGTTAAAATTCCCAAACAAACGTAGTTTATATTAGCAATAGGAATTGCTTACAAAACCATGTTTGATTATTTATTATTAAATTATCATTTATAGTAGTGTAACTTCATTAAACAACTGAAAATACAGATGTTAAATTACATGAAAAGAAGACTCTGATAATTTTGAGGTGTGCCAGTTGGTTGTTCAAGCATATTATTATATATGGTTAATATTAACAGTAGGAATTGTTCATAAAATCATGTTTGATTATTAATTGATCATTAGTAGCATTTTAACTTACTTAAATAATCTTACAACATTAATGATTTTGAATACTTTCTTAATTAGTCTGGCTTTTGTTTTGTAATATTCAGCATTTGCCATCATGATAGTATGACCTAGGTTCCTTCTTTGTTGACATACCCACCCATTAACCAGTCTTAAACACACATGCATGTTGTGGAAAAGTTTGTACAGTGTTTTGTACACTGTAAATGGTTAATACACCAAACAAATCCATTTTTCTTTTTTTCTCCATCTGTCTTACCAGCATAGCTGGCTGTCCCGAAGCAGCCGTCAGTAACATCTATAGAGCAGTGCAGGCTGCTAGCAGTCACAACCTACTGGGATTGATAATAGCTGATTGGTCAGGAGCAGCCCACCACACAGCTAGAACATTTAGCTGGCCAGGCTATGTTACTGGAGCAGGGCTGGCATGGAACAGTACAACTCATTGGGTAAGTTTGTTTTTTCAATATATACGTATATGTATATTTTTCTTAATGCTGTATTTTGTATCTTTCTTATTAAAAAGCTCTTTTTTTTTGTTACCATTCATTAAAACATTTTTGACTTTCCATTTTGTATTTGATTTTCATTTCCTAGATTTAAAAAAATTTATAGTTTCCACATTGTATCCTTCATAAGGAAATTCAAAATAAGTATACTCCGTCAGACCCAACATGACCCAACTCTTACACATTTTTTTTTATTTAAAGGAATATATATAAAAAACAGAAATCCTTACTCCTAAAATATTGTTAGGGGTATGATGAAAGCTAAACAGTAGAATTACCTACTATGTTTCTCTCAGGATTACATTCACAGTCGTCTAGGAGAACTGATGAACAGGTTTGTGTTGTTAGACTCCGAAGATGTTCTTGGTCAGGTTGTGGTGGAACTTGGACGTGCAGAAACGTACATACTGCGGGCTGGTCGCAGCCAAGGAGACCACGATATTACCAATCTACCAGATCCTAATGCAACAGTACTACAACAGTTAATTATTGATCCTGACAGTGTGTGTCTAGATAACCTTACCATTGACATCTTTCAGGTATTAAGTTTACACTGGGAAAGTTGTACCTATTTAATTTTTTCTTTGTTCATCAAAACCTAGCCAGTTATTTGCTCTAAATGTATTACTCAAAACTTGTAATGTAGCTGTCTTTGAAGAAGAATCGTATTAACGTTTTGTTTGAAAGTATTATTTTTTTTTAATTTTATTAACTACAGAAACTGCTAGTTTTGGGTGCACTTTTATTTGTGTTCTTTTTTACAAGAAATATTTACTCTTCAGAATCTGAATAGAACAACATTATGATTGAATGCTTCTATTGGTCAAGATACGGGTCTTTAATAATATTTGAAGTTCATGGCTACTTTGTGAAGTTACTTTGATTATGTACAAATTTCAACTTGTTTTTTTTAAACTAAGTTAGGGTATAATTTTTGGTCTTAGTTAAAAACAAAAGGTGCATATTTTAACCTACTTTATTTAACTGTCATTTACTTTTGAGGAAAATATTCCTTTGTATATAATAAATTCATAAACTGTGTCCATGCCAACAAAACTGAAACCTAATCTTTTGTATTTAAAAAAAAATATCGACCTTTTGTCACTTTCATGCATGTCAAGAAATGCTTCTTGATGATCATAAGATTTATGGTTGGGTCACAATTTTGATATTAATTTAAGGCACAAAACAAGCAATGGGCAGATTTTGAACTCAGGGGTATTCTATTTTTTTAAGCAATTGTACACTTACGTCAAATGAAGCAATCGTAGCACAAACCAGATTTTCTGCTGGTATTTTAACTGAAAGAAAACATTTTACTTGTTTCATTTGTTAAAAGTTGTTTGAACACCAAATGAATTCTGAAAATTAAGCTTTTTTTTACAACTGTTTTACATAATAGACTATTTATTCAGTGTTTATATTTCTAAAACTATCTGTCAGAATGTCTGGAAATATATGAGAGTTAAACTTATCATTAACTTTTTTATATTAACATTATTGGTTGTGCAAAAGAAACTTAAGCATTTAGTACAACCCTTTGACAAAATTAGTGTTATTATATTCTCCTGTAGAAAGCTGTACGTCACATTAAACGCTGCCAGTTAGAGCTGCACAAAGCTAAGGTGCAATGTTTCCAAAGTGGAGAAGTAATATCAGAACTGCAGATGGCTGTAGAACTTATGCTCTTTGCATGCAGGTAGGAAGGTAGAAGTTTTATGACATCAAATGGTAAATTTTATTCTGAAAGCTAATTACTCAAAATTCCATAAGAGCCTTTCAGGTGGCTTTGCAAGTTTTCAGATTAAAATTTGTCCAGTAGATTTTCCTTTGGATTTTGTGAGCTTGATACATAAAGTATCACAGAAGTTGTTTATACTGTAATATGTAATTTCAAACAGATAGTAATTTGAATTGAAATACACTGTTCTTCTCATATTGTGTGGTTTTACAATTAATTATTCAGCCTTCATTATGTTGGATCTGATTTGGTTTTGGTGCTGTTTATTCACCAACTGGAGCTATGTTTCTTGAACATTTAATAGTTTTTCTGGCAGGTTGAGCCAAAATTTAATTCCTGTTACTTTACTGGATAACTTGAGAATGAAGGAGATTACATGAAACACAATAATATAGGGCTCACAATGCTAATAAGAAACAAACTCCTCTCTGATTACATTTTTTTACTGTAGGTCAGCAGTAGAGAGACTTGTTACATGATAGCAAGTCAAACTGTCTTTAGCATACTGTGCATGATTAAATATTTTATCTAAGCTGTGGTTAAAGCTTCATCTTTAGTAATGATAAAACTTGAAGTTAAAACAAGTGCCAATTATCCATTAATTTGTGGGTTAGTATAATGGCATAAAAGTGTAGGTCAGCACGTTAAAGAAATTGTATAAGCATTTTAGTTCTTTAAACCTTTTAGTATTTCAATGAAGTATATCTTTGAATAAATTATCAACATTGTTTTTAATATTGATTATATTTTTTCTGTCATATTTTTGTTTCATTCAAAACCAGAATTGGCAGGTTGCTCATTACCAATGGGCAAAATCCAGATAGCCGTTGTGGGGTAGCAGTCATCAACGTGGGTTTGGTCAATCTTCCCCCAACATCTCGCACTGACTTAGCTAACAAGTAAGTTATAGCCTTTTTAGGTAAATATCTTTCCAACCTATCCATACCTACAAGAAGTGTACATACAAAAGTCTGATCTTACAACTGTGAGAAAAGATTTTTCTACTCATAAGTTACAGCATTATGCAAGAACAACAACAAAATGATTTTCTCATTTAAAAAAATTGTATAAAGTCCACTTTCCTCTTCTTAAAACATTCCTCAGTCTGTTAATATGACACAAACTTGCCATTACTAATGGTGTCTAGCTATGAATGATTCAGTTTTAGAACAACTAAAAATGTGTTTAAAACTCCACTCGTAATGACTGGCACAAAAAGGTTCTGGCAGGAACAGAGTGCACAGTGATTTTTGACAACCGTAGCCCACTATCAATAATGTCTAGGCTGTACACTTGATATTGGATTGAACCAAGCAAGTTGGAGTAAAACTCTGATTCTGACAGCCATGACTAGTACACTGAGTACTGATTAAGCTAGCCCATTATTATCCTTTCTAGGATAACAAACCTGATGAAACATCAAATTATTTTTTACTTCTTGATTTGTCCTTTTTTATACTCAGCACATATGGTTCGATGATAATGATAAATGTTTAGAAAATACATAATTTAAGGAAGTTGCATAGTACTTGTGGAAGGTTGTGGTGATTGGTATCCAATCATTCTCATGGATGTAGCAGCTTACACTATCACCTAATTCTAGTTATTAATTAACCACTATAATTTACTAGATACTTGTTACTAACTAACTAGTTTTTATTCTATATATTGATTGCTAATCTGCTGCTGAAAAGCACTTTAAATGTGGTTGTTAGTGATTTGACTGATCCTTACAAGAAGAGTTAGGATCAGATATCAGTCACTATATCCACAGGACAGTGCATTTGCAGCTAAAATATAGGATAAAAACTAATTAGTATCTAGTGAAAACTAGTAACTAAATAATTAAACTTGGGCTATAATATAGTCTACCAATAACAATAACCAATTTGTATAGGTACATGCACTGATGTTCTTTTGTAGACATTACAAAAAAATTAGCTCTCATTCAGTGAAGGGTTGACAACTTTTTTGTTTGTTTCTTAAATTCTGTTTTGGATCTTTGCAAATAATAAAGTGATTTTTTTGTTGCTTAAAAAAATAGAGAAGGGAAACATTAAATTACCTGCACTACTCTAATTCTATAATTCTTGAAAGTTATTAAACAAAAGCAATTTTAAGTTTAAAAAAAAAGGTTATTTTGCTGAAACGTTTACCCATATTGATAGAATTCTCACAACATATTTCTTAAAGAAAAAACTTACAAATTTTGAGAATTTTGCTGAAGCAACTTATTAAAACATTCCCAAAATTCTTACAAAAGTTTAACCAGTTTTAGTTTGATACTCCTGATATACAGTGCTGATGTTATGTTTTGCAGATTAACTCTGTCTGGATTGGTGAGCACCTTTCAGTTATTGAGTGCACACCTGAATATCAAATTTCGAAATTTAAGTAAAAGTTGTAATTCTAACCATGTTTCATATTTGTTACTCACAAATATTTTAGAATATTTTGTCATTTTGTAACATCTAGTTAGTGTAATGTACAAAGAAAAATGACAAAAATGTCACAACTTACATTTCTGTATGACTCTGAGAAGTCTTATGTGTAAACAACACTTTTTTTTAGAACTTTTCTGTTCATCCCAAAGTATAGACTTACATTTGCTAAAAACACCATCAACCCTTGAGGATTATGCTTTTTTCTGTTGTTATTTTTCTTCTCTTTCTCTGATTATGTTAGTAAAGCTTCTCATTCGCACCCTTGTATGATCTCACTAAAAACACCATCAACCCTTAAGGATTATGCTTTTTTCTGTTGTTATTTTTCTTCTCTTTCTCTGATTATGTTAGTAAAGCTTCTCGTTCGCACCCTTGTATGATCTCACTAAAAACACCATCAACTCTTAAGGATTATGCTTTTTTCTGTTGTTATTTTTCTTCTCTTTCTCTGATTATGTAGAGCTTCTCATTTGCACCCTTGTATGATCTCACTAAAAACACCATCAACCCTTAAGGATTATGCTTTTTTCTGTTGTTATTTTTCTTCTCTTTCTCTGATTATGTTAGTAAAGCTTCTCGTTCGCACCCTTGTATGATCTCATAGCATGTGATGTGAACATCTAATAATAAAGATCAGCTTTTAGAATATTGTAATGACACAACTCCTTATTTATTGAATATTATTGTTGCCTAGCCTGACCTGATACTGATGTGATAGGTGAGACCATAAGTCACCAGTAAATCTTTGTCAGTTTTTCTGTATTTTTTTATGATTTATAGTCAGAAGTGGCAAAATAAAATATTGAAAGAAATATGTTAATGAATATCCATCACGCTGAAAGTGATTAGGTATATAAAATGAACCTTTTGATCAGCAGTATAAAGAAATTGAAGTTCTAAGAGGAAAGAAAGTGTTTTTAACATTTTTCAAAAGAGTGTTTGGAAATTTCACATTAAAAACTTATGTTTTATACAATTTGGTTAAGTATTTCTACTGTAAGAAGGAAAAAGAATCAGGGGATGTTAAATGAATACCCCCTCCCCAAATATAGTATTGATGTTATGTTTTGCATGTTAACAGGAATAACAGAGCACTCCTGATGTACAGTTTTTGATGTTATTTTTTTTGCAGGTTAATTGGGTTAACAGAGCAATTCAGAGCTGTTTGGCTGAGCAGAAACTTACCCCCAGGTCTTCATGCTTCCCTGCTAATCTTCAACACCATTTTGAACAGGTTAATACCTGATTGTACACAAACTCATTCACATGAATCTGGTGTGCTGGAATGAACATATGAGCTATTTAGGGATACATTTTTGGACACAGCTAACTTTGCACGTGGAGTACTGAATCACCATTTCAAGACGCTCATCACAGTAAATTTTTATGTTTACAAGTGACAAAGTGGTCATGCATTTCACATCACTGGGTTGAATGTGGGTGCCATTAGTAGAAAGTGTTTAATTTAAACTCGGCTAAATGTATACATGTGTAATAACAAAAACAAACTAACATGTCTTATTTTGTGTAGAAGAAAATCCATTTGTTTCAATTCTTTAGATAATTTCCCAAGCTTCACCCAATATTTTACTTTGACAGTACATCAGCATCTGTGATACTGTGGTCAGAGAATGCAGACATTAGTATTTACAAGAATTGCCTGAACCAAATATTTTAACTGTGAATGATAGTTTGTTTTCATAATCCTTTTTTTTTTAAGTTTTGTTCAAGAATTATAATCATTAAACCTATGTACAAAAGTAGAATCACAACAAAAATGATTTAATAAAAACTTATCACACAGAAAATCTGGGGTTTCCCTAGTGTACAGTTCATCACAAATTCACCTATATAAGTAAGTTCAAGTATATAAATAATAAAAACAAACATATTTAAGATTATAAAATTCCTGCAGCAAGTAATACCTCAACCATGGTAAGCAAGGTATGGCATCTTGTAACAGATGAGAATCCGTGAACACGTAGGTCAGTGTCAAAAGCCATCAACATATCTCAGGCAGCTATAAAATATAATAAAGGATCTTCATCTGGAAATGAGGCCAACAGGGTATGGCTTCTAGTCATACTTTCCATTCAATCATTACATACCTCAAGCAGCTGAAGAATGAAACAAGTATTCGTCCTATATCAAAGTGTTGAAAGGAGCATCTATGAATTGCAGTGTGATTGAACTGTTGAAACGGGCACTGGAAAACCATCATCCTCATATGTAGATGGATTATTGAAAGCAACATGGAGGAGTGATGTGTTTTGTACATGATAGCCTTATGATGGAACATTTTGCAATGGAAATTACACTACAGGGCTATTTGTCAAGATGCACAGTTGTCAGATAGAGCATGTGAGACTCCACAATTGTTTTAATGTAAAGTACTCAGCCTCTGTTTGTAGAAAACATCTATTCCTTGAGCTAAATTAATGTGCAAATGATGAAAGAAAGAGACTGACACCCAAACTGGCCTTCCTTTTGACTTTATTTCTTCTAAGTTTCAGATCAAAAGTGTAATTTTTTGCATTTGTTCCATACCACAATCACTTATTCAAAACATTCAAGAAGAAAATTCTTGAAGAACTAATCAGTTTAAAACCTTAAAGTTTAAAAATGTTTTCAAACAGATAGATCACAGAAATAATCAATTATCAAAATAAACTTAAACAGGCTAATTAAGAAATAATCATTTCTAAAAAGAGAAGTGAAATTTCCTAGAAAAAAGCAACTGTAATTTTTATTAATTGTAAAAACATCACCAAATCACGAATTTTAATAGTGAAAAAAATTACAATCCCCAACTCAGCTACCTGAAATGTCGACATTTTCATCAACATGTCAGATAATTGAGTTGGGGATTACTAATGTTGACTTTGCATTGATTAACTTATGGCATTTTGTCTGACCTGTGTATTTTTTTTTTATAAGTAAATCACATAGTGCCCTTTTCAACCACTTCACTTTGGTTCAAGTCAGGTTACTGCCATTGTCAAGTAACATAATCAAAGCAGTGTAATATATCCGTCTCTTCGGTTCTCAGCCTCTTTCATAGTAAATCTGTGCAAACCTGTGGTGATGATATTTCTCCTCTGATCCTTCCACAGGACTTATCGTGTTTAACACTCGATCTGCGAGTTAAGGAGACACGTTTAGTGGGGGTGATTCCCAAACAAACCTTTCCAGTACTATTTTATTAAATTATGAAAAGGGAGATGACTCCTTGCAATATCTGAAATTTGAATTGACCAAAACAAGATCTGGTTCCTCAGCTCTGTAGGGAGTAAAGGCCTATACAAATCACGGCAGATACGCATATGTTGAGCAATACAAGATCTGGTTCATCAGCTCTGTAGGGAGTAAAGGCCTATACAAATCACGGCAGTTACTGCATATGTTGAGCAATACAAGATCTGGTTCCTCAGCTCTGTAGGGAGTAAAGGCCTATACAAATCACGGCAGTTACGCATATGTTGAGCAATACAAGATCTGGTTCCTCAGCTCTGTAAAGCCACTTTCGTGACTTCTGTCGACAGAGATGACTAAGAAAGACTCAATTAACCTACTTACCGCTGTAAGTTGACCCGCCAGAAATATACGCCGACATGAACACTTCTGTTGTTTTGTGGAATAGCAACACAGTCTGGCCAACCCCCTAAACCTCACATTTTCGTGGCCAAACCAATTGAGAGGTGATTTCTTTTAGCAGTAAAATGCGTTTTTTAAAGGTTAATAGATCAAGACTTTTATCAGAGTAACATTTCTCTGGTTCTAATTTGAATACGGAAACCTAACACCCCTCTGTAACCCACCTAAACCCCTGAATTCGGTCTCATAGACTTGCAGACTGAGTGTTAAGTGAAGCAAAATAGTTCTTTCAAACAACCATTTCCATCAAAAATATTTCGTTCCTTTTATATTAATTCATCTCATTTTTAAATTTCAAAACTATCTCTGGATGAATTTCATTAAAGAAAAATTCGACGAATGTAAAAAATTACATTTACCATATAAACGTTGCCGAACACACTTTAAACTAAGGGAGTTATACTTGTGATAGCCATTCCAATTGTCCAGTTGAGAGTATCCACATAGGTTGCAGGTGATACTGATTGGTCAAAAGTTTAAAATTAAAGGTGACTATATCTAAAACTTGGGGTTCATGACTTGGACATTTAGCCATTATGTTCCGCGTAATCTACATTTCACATTAAAAATACTATATCATATTACCATAGAAGAGCATTTATACCACATAATGCACAATGATATACTAACTTATACAACTTATGATGAAAGTCTTCCGGATATTTCTAAAAAAATCCTTAAAACCTCAGGTTTTCTTCCTGAGAAACACATTTTTTAAATTTTTTTATCGGATTTTGGTGTTTCATGCCATAGATAAGCGTTTATGCAATCGCGCGGTTTGTTTACATTTGGCGACAGGGCGCCGCCATTTTGTAGTCTCGCAATGCTTGCTGGCGTGTACGAGACCTTGTATGCTTATAATGCGAACTTCATGTCATGTGAACGAGATTTTATCTCGAAAACA